AAGTCATGAAATTTTCGATGATCCACAGGTCGAAATCTGATTACCGAAAAATTCGATTTTTCAAAAACTCATTTGTTCTCATCAGCAACATGTTTAACACTGTTGTGTTAAAGTTCAGCACAACTTTGGAAGGTTTTCGTTAAATTCGGAGAAAGAATAATGACTCTGAAGAAAAGCGCGGATCATCAGGGATCATACAAAAGCTGGAAAATGCGGTTCGTACAGCTTCTTGCTCCTGTTCAATAAGTTCATAGTGAAGGATAGTAGGAATACTTATGGACAGGTAGACAGCGTAAAATCACATATCTGGAGCTTCAGAATATGAAGCTTTCTTTTAAGCTGCGATCCCGCGGCCATGTTAGTGCATGCGGCCCTAAGATTCCTCTAATCCCCAGGAGAGCGGAGCTGCGCATCGCGACATGGTTTCCACAAATCGTTGCAAGTTTTTCATGTTGTTCATCATAGTCGTACATCGTACACTGTCGTGTCGTCCTTGCGAAGCATTCAGCTCTGTGTGTGCGTCTCATCATATTTGGTGTAGGTTCTCGCGTCGAACACCTTGTTCACATATTAGAGCAAAAACTCGTCTGATTTACGGCTTCGGCCGCGGATTTCTCACGCTACTTGCAAAAACGGCTGAAAACTGTCTCATTCGACAAATCATCCTCGCTGGAAAAAACTCGCCGAAATTAAATGGATCTAATAAGGACAAATGGGGGATTCAAGGCGGTTTTTGCTGGCATAAAGGATGTTATTTATGGTTCGCACGGCGCCTACGGCAGTGCCGTTATCTGCTCGTCCAGCGGCGTTAGCGACGGCTCGATGAGCTGCGATCAGCTGGATACGATCTCGTTGACCGCTAGATAGTCCGTGTTGTCAGGCGGCACCTTTGTGCCCGGATCACTGTAACCACACCTTCAATTATCATGTCATCTATCATGTCCTCGCAAGCGCCGCAACACCTCACATCGTACTGCGCCAAGACGTCTTCATTTCGGCCCCCGAAATGGCAAACGCAGTGTGTGTGGTCTCTTTTCCGTTTGATAAAGTCGAAAGGTGCGAAATCGGGCCACTACGCACGTAAAAACACCCATAAAATGTGCGAAATGCGCGATTATTTATGAGCGCAGCAAATGCTGACGACGCCGCCGCCGCTGTCGAGCACCGGGTGGTCAAGCGGCTGTCTCCATGGTTTGGGAAGGCTCACTAATTAAGGTCAAACATCAGGGTGGAAAAAAGAACAAAGAATTTTTCAAATTGTAAAAGTGGCTATTTTTCTAATCCTAGGATAATTATTTATTAGATTACGAATTTGATTATTTTTTGTCAAGGGCACTAGTAGAAAACACCTTTGTGGCTGGTGTGTCTGTTGGGCGTCTCAGTATTTACTAAAGCGCCAATGACTTTCTGAAATGCTAATCAACTTACCTACAAAAACCAAGCATGAAATACGCATTAGAAGTAAACTGAACGACGTTGTGTGCAGTTGCATACCATACATTCTGCAAAACAGAAAATTTCATGCATTCACAGAAGTTTGAACAAACTTGTTACCATTTAAATCTGTCACTTCAAAAATACGGTTGTGCCATGTCAATGCTTAATAGTTTATTTTACATCCAGTAAGGGAAAAGTTATCACCGAAAATTTATCCGCTCACTTCCACAGTCATATTATGCGATTGCAAATTATCGACCGCATACGCGCGACTATATAATTTTACGTTCTAGCGTTAATTTAGCAAATCGTAGGTGCTAGAATGTATATAGAACCGTATAAATGCCGTAAAGTGTGAGGACTGAAATCGCAGCACTTCAGTCATAGATAGTTTTCTTCGAATGAAAGATTGTTGAGAAAAGTCCTCGGTTGTTTCATACCTGGAGATTGGTCACAAATCATCTCTTAATTACCATCGTTTTGTCAAATGATGACGATGTACAAGTGGTCTACTGTATACAAAGGTGAGATTACCCATGTAACAATCTACCCTTACTTCCTCATATAAACTGATCTTGCACTACTTACATCAAAGGTAAACCAGCAGGAACTAGTGTGGACACTAATATTCACACTTCACTATTCACATGAACACTGATATTCATGTAAGCGTAAAAAAAGTCTTAAAATGATAGAATAGCCAAACAACAGCTTCTCAGAGAACTTACGAATTCTATCAGTCCAAACAAGAACCAACAATTGTATAATAACTTTATCAAGATACATCTCAATCTTTTTTACTTTCAATTATGTCATTCCAAAAAAAATGTTTTTGTGTCATTTTGCAATGACTTTGCAAATGATAAGTTTTGCCTAACCCTAAAGAGAACTTTGCAAAATGAGTCATAAGAAAAGTAAAAATAAAAAAACGCCGACAAAAAATAGAAATTCACCAAGAACAAGGAAGAAGATTCTTTTAGCGAAACAAAAAAATACAGGAAATTTTCATAGTAGTAAATAATTCCCTTCTGTCAGTTCTGAATCGTGAAAAAAATTTTCTGGTTTATATTTAAGACAATTTTCATAAACTTTGCTTGAAATTACGCATAAGCAATCAAAAAATTGTCATTCCACTCAACAGTATTTCGGATTAAGGTTGAATGCAGATAAAAGTAAAGAAGTTGGAAATGGAAGTTGGATTCCACAAAAATTAGTAAGCGAGTGGGATATCATTTTTAAGATATTTATTGAATTTTTGACATGCCATACATCTCCATCAAGTCGATTCACGCTCTGACAGCATAGACATCAGCAAGTATTACTTTTCGCCTATATGCGCGTGAGTGTTGGTGTGCGCGAAGGCCTGCGAGCGCGCGCGAGCTACCGTAACCTTTACGATTCCGCTAAAATGGTGATGTTGCTTTTTACGAGCACCCAATGATGCCCCGTTGATTTGCACTATGTATTCGTTTCCAATGGGTCGTAAGTTAATCGCGCAGGAAAGCGCTGCGCGAAGTGAGGGGCAAAAGAGTGGGGGACTACTTGGAGACGACGATCAGACACACAATGAGGTGCTGGAGCTGCGTGTGTGACTGGAAATGGGCATCACGCGCTTGATAAACCCTCTTCCCCAGTTCTCGCGAGGATGGAGGACTTTCTGCCTCTCCCCCGCAACTCGTAAAAAATTTAGAGAAGATTTTTCACCCCCCCCCCCCGTCGACGTGCCCTCCCGACCACCGGGTAATAAATTTGTCTCGAGTAATCATCAGGTAATAAAGATGTGCACATACGCTCGTGCGCGCGTCCCACACCTTCGCCCAGACCGAGAAGGCGATAGCAGTGCGATAAGCGCCAAGGACATTTGCACCATTTGTCAGAATTTGCGGTGTATACCAGCGCAGAAGACCCCCCTCGGCGTCTCTGAGAAGACGCGCGCACGCCGCCGCAGCCGCTCCAACATATTGCTCGGCCTTGTGTACGACTGGTTGCCCCTATCATACTACGTTCTTTTCGAACACACTGCGGGAATGCAGTAACAACCTGTTATGAGTCTTGCTTGCTATGCGTTTCCAAAGGCACAGATATCACTGGGAGAAAAATTAAGCTTCGAATGACCGCAGTTTGCTTTTCGTACAGTTCCGTTTCTGGATAAAAAGGACGTATGTATTTTTGAAGATTGGAATTCACCTGAAAAGGGGTATTTCTCATTTATGAATGTTCTGTTGGAATGCGTGAAAAAGCGTTTCCAGCAATATCACATTTCAACAAATTCCTGGGGCTGCTTGAAAATTCTGGGACTCTTCCGCCTTCCTCCCTCCCCACCCCTCCAAATCTCACAAATATCTCATTAGTATAAACCAATAAGCACTTTGTGAACTGGAGTGGTACCAGTGGTTTTGACATCATTTCTCTCCTGGAATTCTTGGTTTTCATAACCATAAGGTCTCGGACAGAGCTCACGCGATTTGATCGTCGCGATTTAATCGCCGCGATTTTCATTCATTTCCATTTTACATTCAAAATTTTCGAGCTGGAAAAGTATCACAACCGAAATGCAAGCTGATCGGCATGCAATGAACTCGTAACAGTTGTCTTGTATCGATTGAATCGCGACGATCAAATCGCGTGAACTCTGTCCGAGGCCTAACCCAGTTATTTTTACATAACATGCTCCATTCTTCATTTTGATCTAAGAGTTTCTTTTCTACATTATTTTACGACAACTGACCGATAACAAACCAGCGGTGCCTATCTTTCTATGCTAATAGTGGGCAACTGGGTCAAGAATTGAATGGCAGACAAAGTTACAAAGAAAGTCAAAGCTCATATCTACGATTGTCTTCATTGCAATGCAAATTTGGCCATTTTTGGGTCGTCAGAAAGCGTGGTCCTTTTTTAGCATTATGTGACTAATTTTCAATGAAAGAGTCTTGAAAGGACGCGAGAGATGTTCCCCCCTTTTATTGCGAATTCTTTCCATTAAGATGTGATTTTTATTAAATAATCAATAATAATAAACAGAAACCTGTGTGAGACAATGCGAAAGGCACAACAACGTATAGATTTTGTTTAATACCAGTACAACATGTGAGAGGCGCAAGAAAAGCATAAGGGAATAAACTTAAGTGGGATCAAACTGATACAAGTAGATGGGAATATACGTCGTTAACTTAAGGCTAACAACTCTTACAAAACACACTGCCACACACACAATATAACCAATAATCGCTAACCGATAAATCGATCTGTAAAAAATAAATGCGGAGAAAATTGGGGACTATGTACAAAATTGGGCAAATTTATGTCGGCAGCTCAGGTTGCGGGAATGCTGGAAAGAGTAGGGGACCGGTGGGCATGAACAAGGGAAGTGATGGAGGCATCGGAAACAGGGCTGCCTAAAAATGGGATTGATGAGTAGTGATTTTTGGAAATTTGGGGTTTGGACTTACCGAAGATTGGGGAGTAGGAACGACTGTGGGAAAAATCGACGGGTACATGGGTAGATGCTTTCGACATCGCGCTCGTCTGTTAGAGAACCATGTCTGAATGAAAGAGGTATGGCTAGAGAGCTAAAAAATTCCCTAATTTTCCCTTACCATAATCTTCTCCTCGGTAAGTCCCGTCTTCTTGGCAATTGCTTCCCTTTCCGTTGCATCTGGGTAAGTATTCGCCTTAAATGCATTTTCCAACGTCTCCAGCTGCTCTGCGGTGAACGAGGTGCGATTTCGACGAGACTCCGACGGTGAGAACGAATCGTCATCCGATGACGACAATTTCCCGTCCGAATCTGACAAGTAGAGGATTAGCTTGAGCGGCTTGGATGAAAGGCTACGGATTTACGCTCTCGATGTTCCGCTATCAGTGTCTAGACGTAGCGGCTCCCCGCCACTCTCTCATTACCAAATCGTCGCGCAGAGGTGAGAATAATCGCGCTGATCTGTCCCGATGATAGCGGGTCTCTGTTCGCACCTCATGATACCTTATAGCTATTCTATGAGCAAACCTTTAACACAGCCACTAGGTTGACCCATAACAGATTTTGAGGTGAGAACTCAACGCGTTCAGTGACCTACTGGTTAGGGTTGTGATAACCATTATCATTTCCCTGTTGCCCTTCAGCAATGAAAAAAAGGGGAAGGGAAGATACACTTGGGAAAGAACCTGCCTTATGATCGAGCATAAAAACAAAAAAGAAAAAATTATACAGGCGCTACCGTACGCTAGAACAACAACAGCAATAAGAGAGCTCTATTACAAGGCATATTTTAGCTATGATTCAGACTAACGGTTATTTTCGCTCTTTTCTCCCAGCTGCTTTTGGTACACCGCAAGTTTTCTTCCCAAAAGGACTGGCCTAATCATCGAGAAAAATCAAAACATAATACTTTAATCATCGTTAAGATTTCTCAGTTATCAATCACATTCCAAACAATTTGTTCAACCAGAGCTCAAAGTGAATGACTACGGTGAAGAAGTATAATAAAAAAAACTATTTGTTGTTGGTCCGAATATTCATATATGTTTCCATGCTTCTGAGCTATGATTCGTATAAATCGGTCTCGTAAAATGCAAAAAATTGAAAGGCAGCTTCGATGACTGTGAACATGAAGTTACGGTAAGGTTCTGGTCTAAAGCGATAAATTTGTTCATGAAGAGAACTATAAAGTGTGTTTTGTCCAAAATAAGTTACGCAACTGACATGGAACCTGTTGCAAATGGAAGGGTTACGATTGTCGTGTAGTGGAGGAAACTTGCAATTACCAACTATGGTGTTACGTGGCGCAATATTTACGGAAAAAGTGCCAATTACCTAAGATACCCTTTAAATGCTATGCATTTTCACTTTATAGGGGGCATTTTGAGAGAACTAAGCGTGGTTAGGGGTTACAGTCATACCCGATGGTTAAAGTTGGACAGTTGTCCTCAGATTTACTAATCCTCCACTTTACTACACCGGATATACTGTAGCACTCCCTAATTCCCCTCATCTGTCCGATACAAATGGGATTACATCACATGTTTCCGTGCTCTTGTTCAATGACACGCGTCGGAAATTGCTTTTGGTAGGGATTAGACTCGCAGCAAGTTACCGAGGTTCCGTCTGACCTCGCACCTTGTGTTAACCGCACACATGAATCTAACGTATCGAGAGGCCGAGCATCAATTCTAGCGCAAAGAGTGTCAAATCAACGCTGAGATAAGCATCAAAGTGGAATTTATGGCGGTCGAGTCAATTAATTGGATGCACTTCGGTGTGGGCGATAAAGGTGATGCGGAAAGAGATGAGCTTGCATTTTGGGAACAAATGGTTTTGATGTGTGGGAGCTGGAACCGGTACCGCTAAAATGTGCTCATTTAATGACGTTAATTATGAGACCACTGGATTTTTTCTCACAACACCTATAATGTTGAATTCCCTAATGAACGTTGATGACTCTACAGCTCCAAATTCCAGTCCATAAATGAGCAATTAAAGGACTGATATTGCTGTTGGTGGTTTGCACTGAAAAATGAGACTTTTGCAGAATATTCGCTTTAAAAGGTTTCATCTGCCTTAGTGAAATGGTTAAGGTTTGGCAGAGGATGGAAACCTATAAACCGTTATCGTCATCACTTCTACAGACTTGGTTATTCCTCTCAAAAATTACAGAAATCTCTTTTTCGATAATATCTTCTGATTATGACGTTGACAAAAAAAATACCGTAATTGAGTCAAAATGACTCCAACATGACGATGAACTACTTTTTATAACAATCTTAGTAGGAATAATTTGGACATCTAATCGATAATCAAGTACTCCTAGATTTTACGATTATTATATGGATTCAAAATAGCTCTCACACATCAAGAAAATGTTTGCTAATCAGAAGTCTTAGTGCGTATGTTTTCGCACTGGCCAAACTTAACGGCGTCGTAAAAGCACAAACTTGCTTGGCTTGTTCTATGACTACCATATGATTGCCATACCGTATTATGGCTGCAGCCATACGCACGCATCACGGCTTTTACGGGTTACGGTAGACACACTCATTATACATTACACATTTCCGGTTTGTTCGGAAGTTCATCATATGTAGATTAAGATTCTGACTAGGCTGGCCCAAGTACCCTACGAAAATCAGAGAGGGGGGGGGGAGGCAAAAGTATGTTCACATCCTTGAGGTACATACTTTTGAAGAAAGCCATTTGGTATGTGAAGTTCCAACTAGCGCGCAGATGACCTCAAGCCTCAGTCTTGGTTCCACTACCGTAACCAACCCTCAAAAGCGAGAAAGAGTGAGAGAGGAAATGTGCGAGCAGCAAAGCGCTGGAAAAAACGAGGCCGCCGATTATCGCGTGAAATTACATGGCGAAAAACCGAGAGAGAAGAAACGTGGTATGCGTGTGCGGTTCGGCTGTCTGATGTGTGAAACGCAAATACAACTCAAGCTACGGAACGGAACCCAAAACGTACCCATTGAGATGCCAAGGATGCTGTCGATACTGTGGTTGAGACGTTTTTTCTCTTGCTTCTTCTCCCGGTTCCATCCCTTACCACGAATGAAGCGATTTATTGAGGCAACCGTTGGTGCCGTGGCCCGGGAGCACACTTCTGGAATTATGTAACGATGACGATGTTATGCGTAATAGTCAAGGTGACGTGCATCGTTATGGACGAGTTGCACCGCCGTTTCCTGCACTGCGTGAAGTAGTAAAGATGCTATCCATCTGGTCAGATGAGCGTAAAATTTTGGTAGGTATTACTTGCACAAAATCGAAACAGCTATCCTAACGCACTTTATTACAGTTTCCAAAGTACTTTGTGATCTTTCTTCCCCTACCATACTTAGAAATGTTTTTCCGAATTTCTCCCCAAGCCCTCCAAATATACAGACACATAACCGGTAATCTTGCAAGAACACATCCGTAAGAGATCGCTGAACAGTTCATCGCGCAAAGTTACTGAATATGGTTGAATGACTGCTCAGTGCACCGGAATGAATGAACAGTCAAGGGAGCAGTTTGTGGTTCTTGCAGGAATGTAGATACTGTTCTGAAGAGGGTTCATATCTTTACAGAAAGGAAAAAAGCTCCCTAGTTTGAGTGCAGTGAAACAAAATATACTAGCAAATTTTGAGTCCGAAAGAAGCGCTCGAACGTTTTGCAGAAGAGAGACATTCTATAATAATCAGAATCTAAAAAACCAAAAACGTCCTAAGTTGGCTGCAGCGAGATAATGCGCAAGAGTGGAAATTTTGAGACAACAAGATCATCAACATTTTCCACATTTCGGAGCAGCGAAAAAATAGCTAACGATGAAGATTGCCGGAGCAGTTCTTGAAAATGTTTTTTGTCCATTAAAGGACGCGCAATATATTCGTCATGATCTTGATAAGATTTTTATTTCACCTCGTTTGTATACCTAGAAAAAGCAAGAGGAACAATGCAGACATTTTCGTGGAGACTTTTACGAATCTTACTCTAAATAGGAAGGAAAGAAATTAACATTTCTACGTGGTGATTGGATTTTTAATAAACTCAGGCAGGACCTTTCTATAATGAATATAGGGTTAGACAATTTTGCAAGTGAAAAGTTGCAAGTATTTTTTGCACATGATCTGTACGTAAGAATCCCAAACTTGCAGCGACCTACCTTGTTCAATCAACAACTGCCTCAATTCTGCTGCACAAAGTTTTGGATTCTCTTCATAGGTGAGCATCAACTGCTTCTCAATCGACTGCACGGAGATCTTTGATCTTGGATTGCCACCAATCTAAATGCACACCCTCGATTAATTCAAAACTACCGTACATCGATGTACTGTATCAGTTGCCGCGGCTTTGCAGACAGCTGCCGCCACAGTGCAAGCACAGCGGGCGACTCTTTGTCTACGGGCGGCTGCCGTGTTGATGATGATTTCAACGAGCGCCAAATTCGAATTTTTTCAAAAAGCAGTCCTTAGCCTACCTGTCCAGGGGAGATCGATCCCGTCTCTGCATATCGATTCAGTATCTTCGATACAGCTCCGTGAGAAACTCGCAGTTGGCGGCTGATATGGCATGGCCTGCAATGGCGCGGGTTACGGTAGCTTAGTCATGCTAAATTTGCAATTTTACTACTTCGGGTGTTAAATGGAGACAAATGGAAGTGCGAATTGTATAAATTTATGCATGCTGAAATAGCGTGGAAGATACGCTGCATAATCGCTTTTGCATTGTTATTGGGATATTGTTAAAACTGAGCTCTAGAGTAGAATTTCGGAGAAAAAAATATCTTATGTCAGAGATTCAGAAGTGGAAGTGGTTCTAGCACGATAAAGAAAACTGTGTAGGCACCAACAGATGCAAACAGCACCGCTTAACACAAAACATGCGAATTAAATTTTTCAGTGAATAGAAATTTTTGCGCTTGCAGTAGTTTAGAGAAAAAAATCCTGTATTGAAATGGGTTCTAAATGCGTGGATTTTGGCCAAAACATTATTAAAATCTTTACCAGGATGTTCAAGATTATGAAAACTGCAATTAAGCTGAAATGGCGATCGTTTGAGCTCAAAATTGACAAATTGAAGTTTGGATCAAAATCTCACGTAAGACTAGAGAGCTTGATCTGATACAGGGATCAATCGCTTGTCCACTATAGATCACAATGAAGAGATCAAAAGGAGAGAAAGGAGGAAAATCGGAAGATCTAGAAAATCACTTGACTTGAAAAGATGGTCACGATTATAAGAAGCTATGGGTTGGGGATTTCATAAAGATTCTACTCACTTCACTCCTTTAGAAGCCATTTCAATAATTTGAACGCGAACAGCCTGGGGTAGGGGACGACCATTGATAAAGACACCGCCAAGCTGATTGACGCGGCCCTGCAATGAACTGAATCAACAGAAGAATCGAGAGAGAATTCACTGAAATGCGGCGCAACAAATCGCGTCTGGACCACGTGGGCCTTTCCATGTGGGTTCAAATATTGTCCTACCTGTCCCAGAATGTGATTGAATGTGATCGACTCGGTGGTCATGGCTAAGAAGACGCGGTGTTGAGTGCTGTGACACGCGGTCTCTGAGTAGCACACAGCAAGCGCAGACCATCCGTGCCGCTCGGCTCCGCCTCCGCCCACGGTCGGTCGTGCGCGCGCGCCCCGGCCACTCAGCGGGTTACGGTAGCGCGCTTCGCCCCACCAATTACGATGAAAGAGAAGCCGAAAAACCGCGTGTCACGATGAATCGCTGTGTGTTTATCGTTGATAGATATGCAAGGTGCGTGGTGACGATGAAAACTTGCCAAATAAAGCGTGATTGCAGTTTTTTTTGTTTCGCACGTCATTTTTCTCGAACATTATTCAAAATTGAAATGCGGATTTATGGCCAACGTAGTCTACCCTTTATCTATACTTTCCCCAAAATGTGCGTTCACTTTAAAGCTTCATTAATAATTATCACGATCGCATTATTTATTAGCTGGAAAACTAGGCATCAAACCATTTTTCTCAACGAATTCGCCGTTCCTTCAGGTTTAAAGCACTTTAACCGCTAAATTTATTGCTCCACAAATCAACCACTGATGGTCACAATAATGCCATCATAAAATGAAGTCTGGTGCACAGTACATTGGCTCTTATTTGTCTGAGAATTTCCGTTCCACATCAAAGAAAATTCTGCATTCTTATGATTTTTGATGTTTCCTTGCAGAAGAAGAATCTTATCTCAAAAGAAAACACTGTATGAATTATTTGGAGCCGAGTAGCTTCCTCTGTCAAGAACGAAAGCTCCACGGTTAGTCTGCACGCGCACATTTTTTAAAGCACAACTGTGTTCGAGAAATCGTGCTTGCCTAAATGTTGTCTCCTACCTGGAAAGCTTCCGATCCATTGACAGGAAAATTATGCAATTGCACATATTGCTAATGAAATATGCTCGATTGTACACTTTTTAAGGTTCTTATTTTTTTATATCAGGATGACTCTCGTGAAGATTTTTTTTTGAAAAATAGTTTTCACCATCAACTTCTCAACCATGCGTCTCGCCATACTGCCACGCGCCAGCCGCATGAACACGGCCATGAACCAGTTTTCTACGATGACGTTTTCACTCACTGCAGCCCCCCCCCCCCCCGCCCCCTGCAACCCCGCAACCCTCCCGGGCAGATTGCGCGAAAACACCGTAACCGTCATGATTTCGCACCCTATAACAACACGGCAATGCCTTTCATCTTTCTCGCACATTCGACACAGTTCAGGTCACCCCCGGGGGCATTTCAGATACAGTCGTGATAAGGGTCACGTTTTGCTTGTAGCATGATTCATAACTTAGATTTTTTAGTAATTTTGCTATTTTGTTATCACCGATATAACGAATTATATTTATTGGCTTTAGACAAAATTCTGAGGGCTGTAAGAAAATAACGGATTAAAAAAATAAACTCCATTTCTAAATAATTCAAGCTGTTTTTGTTCTAGCAGACTTACCATATCATTCGATAGAGCGACAAGCTCTACAAGATGACCTGAAAGATCCGCCTTTGCCGTAATCCTGATGAAGTTCGGAGCCAAGAAATAATTTTACCTCCTGAAAATTGGACTTTCGCGAAGAAAATTTCTAGCGAACTACGACTTGACCGTTATACGTAGACACATAGTAGTACCCAAATAAGTCTTTACTGGATTTTTTCCACGCATGGAAAGCGAGAAAAAGAAGATAGTCTAAACATGGCAAACTCCACTCTCCAGTCCAACCGTACATCATTGTATAGTACGAATCTTGATAAGTATCACCTTGAAAATATGAATTGTATGTGAACCGGTAATCGAGAAATACCGAGTTCAACGTGAAAAAACGAAAAAAGTGACATTTATGCATTTTTGGGTGTTTTAATCCCTTTCTAAGGAACGAAAGAGGTTCCACCTACATTTTAGGCACTACTATATGTCCACGGTATAATGACCAAGTTGTAAATCCGTGGGAATTTTCTGGAAGGAGATCCGATCTTTAGGGTAGTTATTTCGATTTTTGGCTCCAAATTTTATGTGGATGAGGACTTAGATGGACCTTTGGCAGCCATCCTGTAGAGCTTGTTTCGCTCTATCGAATGATACCCTAAGTCTGCTGAAAAAACAAAAACAAGAACAGCTCAATTTATTTTACTTTTGGGACAACCTGATGAAAATATTTATAGCATCTCCTTCCGCCCTTTTAAACGACACAGGACACATTTTGCTGGAACGTACATTACAAAGTCGTAATGCCATGGCTTTTCCATCATAGGTTTCATCACAACGATTACGTCGCGAGATGCTCATAGACCAACGGCTTGAGCAAAACTTCATGCAAACTTTCATATTCTAGTCGCGACGTACTATCACGACAACACATTACAATGTCATGAATTATCTGTATTCTTATTACCAGCTCTGTAAGACTATGAAAGCGTCATTGGGCTGATAGACGACGATAAGATGAAGAGATGGACAAGACGTGTTCCAGCTTCCCGTTGTGCTTTGTAAATGATAGCTGATTTACTTCATGTACCTCTTCATCTTTATTTATGAGTATGAGCATTTGTTCTCATTTTTTCATGATCTGACAAAAAGAGTGCTATCTCACAGCACCAAGTATTGGATTGTAAAGGAGCTTTGAGCTCTCGAGAAGTTTTTGTTGTACTGCTAAAACATCGAACGATGTTCCTTCTTGGGCGATGCAACTTTTTCTGCAAAGACATTGTCGTCCAGAAGACTGCTTATCCTGTTCGCTTCGCACCCCTTCATCCTTCAAAACCATCAGGATGCACAGAAGAGGTAAAAATCAATTTCAAAACAGTCTGTTTGCGTAGGATTACCTTAGACATAGTAGTTGATCACATATACAGCAGCTGTGAAGTCGTCTATTGGGACCTTATGAGGGTTTTTGGAAGGTGACCTGCAAAGGGATTTTCCCAAAAAGCTTGAAATTCAATTACTTTATGTAAGCTGAAGGTAGGCAAGCCAAGATATGGAAGCAGTCGAAGGAAGACGAAGTTTTAAGAAGTGGGGAAGGGATCTCTGCGAAAATCACGTGCCGCTGGCTGCACTACCAAACGAAGAGGGGACCCCACTTCCGATATAAAATGGAATCTATCGTGAAGAACTTCCATAACAACCTCTTCCGCTCACCAACATCCGTGCCGATGCCCGTTGTTCCCATTGGAGCTGTATCACCACGGATTCTACCTGCTGAAGTGCTCAAACCAATTCAGACCATGAAGACTTTTATGGCTCCAGCACCAGACCATCTTTCCGTCGAATTTTTGCAAACCGGAGGACAACGTCTACAAGCGATTGTCTCGTCGCAACTGACAACTTACCTCCAGAAGGATAGGATTTCCGACCAGTGGAGAACGTCAAGTACCATCCTTCTCTTCAAGAAGGGAGGACGGAAGGATTTTCGGAACTATCGTCTAATTATGCCAGCTCAGTGTGCTGTATAAACTTTTCACGAAAATTATCCTCGCTCGCATATAGACATATAGACACTGAATGAAGCCCAATCCCAAGAACAAGCTGGATTTCGCAAAGGATTCAGCCATGGTCCACATCCAGACGGTTTCGAGGGTCATAGAAGTCTGCCTGGAGTACCGACTGCTTCTGTCCTAACCTTCGTCAACTACGAGAAAGCTGACGGCCTCGAAACCAACGCCATCTTGTCAGCGCTAGCCGATCAAGGAGTGGACCCAGCTTACGTGAGGGCGTTAGGCCTAAGGCATACTTCACGCGATTCCAATCGCTGCGCGATCTGGCACTGCAGCGACTCTTCGTAACTGGTCGTTAGCGCGCTTTGCATGGGCCAGACTTAAAGCTTTCGCTATAACTTACGGTAGCTACGCGCCTATGCACTTAGGACCCGCACACGATTGATCCGTAAATATCTAGCAAACTGCCAAGCCGCGTGGATGTAGCGATTTGACGAAATCGCGCGAGGTATGTCTTAGGCCTTAGCCGACTGCTACAAGGATTGTACAACAACGATGCAGCTGTTCCATCGCCCCCTGAACCACACCTGGGAAGGGGGTTCGACAAAGCAACAGCAAGCAACACTATTTCGCCGAAGCTGTTTCGGAATACGTTGCGAAGCGAATCATGGATGGGCCGCTCTTATGAGAAGAACAGACGACAGATGGACACTAAGAACATCGGAGTGGATTCCTCGAGAACGAAACGTCCTCAGACCTCCAACGACATGGCCAGACGTGTTTGTGGAACGGGGAAAAGCTGAGAAATTATCTTGATATGATTCTTGCCCCTGAAACTTGTGGACGCAGCCACCGGCGCCAGCTGAGAAGATCGTGGATGTCCGAGGCGAGGGCACGGATAAATGGAAACTTCTGTGCTGGGATCCGCACGTCACGTGAAGCCGGGCCATCTAAGTATCTAAGTAAGTAAATGAGTATGCAAGCTATGCTAGGTGTTCTGATTGCAGGTCTGATGTCGACAGGCACCTTTCAGACCATCAGATGGGCTAACCGAGAAGAATCGTTATTCGAAGTGACCTTTTGTGTTGGTATGCATATGATACATCTGTTTTTGGACCATTCACAACGAAGAAATTAGTTTACCCTTGTGTTCCCTCATGTTGTGGATTGCCTGGTTCTGGAGCGAAAACCCGCAGTTCGAAATGCTGCCAGATGAAAATTTTTGAATTGATTGCAACTTTTTTATCAGGTTTCAAAAGTTTCTTTTGCTGGCTTTTTATTTTGCATCTTTTTCTCTTTTTTTGATGTCCTAGAAACAACCTTCACTTTTATGAGGGGGGGGGGGGGAGAAGGGGCAGATAATCAAACACCTTCACTTTTGACGGCCTATCTCTAAATTATCGAAGGCTCGCTACCTACCGTTTGAGCAGTGTTTAGTTTAGCTCTCGAAATCAGTCTCCACGTGCGACCCCCTTCCGTACAGATTTAACTGGTCGCTGCGTTTAAGCTCTAAGATCTCAAGGAGTTACAGTATGTAGCGAATCAATATCAATCTTCATCTCTGTAGGATTACGGTAAAAACTTTGAGAGGGTTCTAGGTCACTGAAGGCCTTTTGTTGCCGGGAAAGTAAA